AGCATAGAAAAAGATTCATTTATTTGGGGGCTGGAGAGATGGCTCAGAGATAAAGAGCACTGGCTGCTCTTCCAGAGTTCCTGAGTTCAATTCCCAGCAACCACATGGTGGCTCACAACCATCTACACTGAGATCTGGTTCCCTCTTCTGGCCTGTAGGCAGAACACTGTGCACATAATAAATAAACAAATCTTAAAGAAAGAAAAAGAAAAGAAAAAAAGACTCATTTGTTTGATAGCTGGAGAGATGGCACAGAGGTTAGGAGCACTGGCTGTTCTTCCAGAGGTTCTGAGTTCAATTCCTTCAACCACATGATGACTCACAACCATCTGTTTGGGGATCTGATACCCTCTTTTAGCATAGAGCATCATATACATTAAATAATAAATCTTAAAAATGTATTTTAAAAATTTTATTTGTCCTATTTTAAAATGAAAATCTTAAGTTAGGCAGTATCTACATACCTTAAATCCCAATACCTCAGAGACTAAGCTAGGATTTTGAGTTTATTAAGGCCATCTTGGGCCAGTCAGTATCTTACTGACCTTTGTTCATCAATACCTTAAGAAAACTAAAGTCAAGACAAAGCTTCATTAACTAGAAAACTAATCTCAAAACCCTAAGTAACTTAGGTTAATTAGTTATTTAATACATTTAATAAAACTATACATAGAGGCCGAGGAAATGGCCCTGCTGGGAAAGTGTTGCCTTGGAAATATAGAGCACCGCAGTTTGATCCCCAGAGCCCACATAAAGATACCAGGTGTGGTGGAGGACTCTTCTAATTCCAGCATTGCAGGCAGAAACAACCAGTTGACCTTCTTTCCTTTTTAGCCCAAGACCCAGCAAGACAGCATCTCTCCAGCCATCCCAAACCAAAAAAGACCTCAAAACTCCAAGTCTGTCCCTACTCCTTCCTGTGCATCTCTTTTGTCTGGAGCTCTTTGTGGGGCTGCAATCAGAACCAGCAGAGCGGCCCTGGGTCCATACCTGAGTGGGGAAGTGTGGATAAGGAAGAGAAGTTTGTACCTGAGTGGGGAAGTGTGGAAAAGGGAAAGACTATGTATAGACGATAAAGAAAAGACAGAGACACAGGAGGGCAGATCAGTCAGTACTGAAATGCCATGAGTTTATTTTTCACCACTGTTATATACCTTATCCAAAAAGGGGAACACAGTATCATGTATATAGAGCAAGCAGACTTTTCTTCCTCACTTATTCTAAGGGTTCAGTAACCACACCTTAGCTCCAACTTCTTGTTCCCTAGCCTTGAGGATCAGGAGTAGCCACACTTAGATTCAGGTCTGTTGTTATTTAGAATAAGACAGCCAAACACCCTACTGTAGCCACACTTCTGACCTTTAGGTCTTATGACTTGCTGAGGACAGTTTTGAACTCTCTGTCCTTGTGCCAAGATGGAGTGCAGCCATCTTTATGAGCACCCAAAGTCTCTATCTGTCTTCCTGGCTCCTCTATACTCTTTATGGCTAATTCCTGTCAGCTAGTTGCTGGCTCCACCTTCTGACTCAAGGTTGATTTTATTAACACAGTCTTGGGTTGCAAAGTGTGATCAAATACCCTGCAACACCCTGTGGCTTACAGAACTGTGAACACTACATATTTCAAACAGAGCCCTTTATAATTGATAAGCCATTTGTTTAATACCCTGTACTTTGTGATGGAGGACAGTGTTGCCATCACTTTGGTTTCTTCAAATGTGCCTTAGCTGTATCTTCAACAAATTATTATACAATTCTGCTAGGCTGGCTACCTCTGTGACCAAGGTCAAATGTCCCTGTTGCAAGTTCTTCCCATTAGCTTGGTCCCTTGGTCTGAAACAAAGATGAACAAATTACTATTTGTCATGCTTTGAATCTGAAATACCCCCGGAGGCTTGCAGGCTGAAGGCTTGGTTTCTAGCTCATAGGCTCTATGGGAGTGAGCAGATCATGAGGGCTCTGGCTCTATCAGCAGAGTCATGCATGGATGGATCATAATTAGATGGCATTATTGAGAAGTGGGGGAGACCTCAGAGGAGAGGTGAGAGGAAGCAGACTTCCCCTCAAGAGCATCTTGTTTCTTCCTGTCTGTTCCCTCCTGCTTCCTGGATGCCACGCGATGAGTAGCTGCTGCCACATTCTCCTGCCACTATGATATTTTGCTTTGTCTTAGCCTCAAAGGAATAGATCCAGATCACCTTAGGCTGAAACCTGTGAAAACATGAGCCCACACAAAGCTTTTCCCTTTAAAATGACTATTCTTGGGTATTTGTGGCAACAAGAAATTGCTTGGAACTCTGTTACAGTATGCATTAGCTGGAGGAGCTTTCTTCCTTGGGCGATAGGAAGAATTGTTTCTGTCTCTCTGGAAGACCTGGGGGGAACCCGGGAGTAAGGGTTAGTCAGGTGTGTCTGGCTTTCCCACCCAGTCATCCACATCCAATGTTTAGGTTTCCCCTTTTCCCGTCCACGCTGGGACTCTGATAGAAGTGACTAAGAGACAGTGCACTCAATACTCTTTGACACTTGGCCATCCTAGCAATAAACTGATTTCCAGGCAATTTTGCTTAAAAAAAAAAAAAAAAAAAAAAAAAGTTGCAGAACAAGTCTCCTTCAAAGCTTCCACAGAGACTCTGCAGTGTCCTTAAATGGCAGCTGGCTGGCTGGCCCTTGTTTCTCAAGGTTTCCAATGAAGTTAAGAAAAGCTAGTCTTTGAGCTAAGCATGGTATTACATGCCTTTAATCCCAGCACTTGGATGGCAGAGGCACCTGGTTCTCTGTGAGTTGAAGGCTAGCCTGGTCTACAAAGTGAGTTCCAGGACAGCCAGGGCCACACACAGAAACCCTATTTCAAAAAAAATTTAAAAAGTTCCCCTTCATATGAATTATAGTGACTAAGGTGTTATTACATCAGACTGCTTTCCAGTTTAAAAAAAAAAAACAAAACCCCATATCATTATCAGCAATAACAAGCAAGATGTGTTAGAAGTCAAATGGGAAGTACCCTGTGTGGTGAGGCTAAAAACACTGGTCTCCTTATGTGGGTTGTGAGTCAAGTGTCAGGCAGCAAGAACTATCTATAGACTCTTTCAGTCTGTGTTAGCGCTGTGAAAAATTAACTGTGCTACTGCCCTTGGCCGGCACTGGCCACCCACAGAATAGAATCATTCCAGGTCTCTGTTCTCCAAGTGTTCACAGGCCAGCAAAGATGAGCAAACAGTGGCAATTCAGGTGTTGCCTGGGCAGAGCGAAGCCCAGGGGATTAGTACAGGAGGAGGAGGCGGTCCCCAAAGTCTGGAGGACCTCCTAGACATCATCCAGGCCCAGGCTGGAGACTGGCCACAAGGCTGCTTGCCAGACCTCTCCAGTGTTGCTGAGCCCTGATGTTTTCGAGGTGGCTGTCAGACACCTGGGTGGCACAGCTGAGGGGGTCATCCCTAGCCATCGCCCACGTGAACAGTCAGGAGGACGCCTTTTATTCACAAGCCAGACCGCTATGGACCCTTCGTTGCTGGTTAAATTTTCCAGAGAAACCTGCAATTGGTCATCTATGTTTTTTTCTTATCTCGATTATTTTTCATTGCCTATTTTAGATTTACATAAGAAAAAGGTAAAAATAAGGAGTAAAACACTCTTGACTACTGAGAATTCGCCCTACTTGTGCCTGTCTCTTTAAGTCCTACGAGATGGGCGGGACCCGGCTCTGCGCTCAGAAGTCTTCCAGGGCTGCGCTTGCTTTAAGAGAGGGGGCGGTGCTCCGCCCGGAGGAGGCGGAGAAACCCTCTGCCTCCCCCGGATCTCCGGCTTCCGGGAACCCTGCTGGAAGGTGGCTAGTGCTGAGCATCCCAGGCCCCAACCTTCCCTGGACAGCTGGACCCTCTCCCTGCGAGGTGAGGCCGTCGGGGCTTCTGGGCCAGTTAGGGAATCTCCTGCCCGCCCGGGCTACTGCTGCTCAGCAACACCCCACACACACACTCTGCGCCCCAATAAAACCAGCCTGCGCATCCCCTGGTCCCGGACTGCAGGGTCGCCAGCCTACACTCTAGCTCTTCTAATTGCCTGGCTCTGCGCCTTATACGCACTGTCGTTATAGAGTGGTCTAGACAGCATCATGAACCCATTTTACAGATGAGGAAAGCTGAGGCCTCGAGGAGCTCACACACAGCAGAGAAGCAACAGAATCGGGACTCAAACCCAGGTCTGTCTGACCCCAGCATATGCTCTGGGACCTAAAACCAGCCACATTTGAGTGCCTTCCCCATCACCACTCGCAAATCTTGGGCTCCTCTTCCACTTGCTTACATCTCCGGGCTTCATCTGGCCCCTAAACACTCACACAGTGAGTGACCCCTGCAGCCAATCTCTTGTTGATATGGGACCTCTTGTAACTCATACTGTTCTCACCAAGTTGTGTAGGATAACCTTAAACTTCCTGATCCCCCTGCCTCCATCTCCTAAATGCTGGGATTACAGGCAAACACCAGATTTTGCAGGTCCTGGGTATTGAACCCAGGACTTCCAGTATGCTAGGCAATCACTCTCTCAAATGAGCTACAACCCCAGTACTCAGTTCCTTTATAACAGTTTTAATAATGTCTGATGCTTAGATGTGATCCTTATGTAAACTATCAATCCCACTGAAAATAGGCAAGGGAAAGCTTTTGTGACAGGGGAGATTGCTTAGCGGGTAAAGGCGACTGTCACCAAAGGTGGTCAGAGACTCATTCTGAGACCCACATGGTGGAAGGAAAAAACAGACTCCCGTCTACACTCAGGATAAAGAAATGTACATACATTAAAACAAATTTTAAGACAGGGTCTCACTCTATAGACCAGGCTGGCCTTAAACTCACAGAGATCTGCCTGTCTTTGCCTCCGATTGCTGGGGGTTAAAGGTGTGTGCCAGCCACTGTGGCTGGCTATAAACTTTTCTTTTACTATGATTTTATTTTTTTTACAGATTGTTCTGTTTCCCTAAGCTCATTTATTTCTTCCTTTTAGACCCCAGACAGTTTTCTTCCTCCTCCTTGGGGAAGGAGCCTCTGACTGAATGGCAGCTGCAGATGACTTGCAGTTTGAAGGTATGGCAGGCAGTTGGGTGCCCACCTTTCTCTTACAATCCTAGCTTCCGCAGTCACAGCAGAGAATTTCATTACTGAGGGATAGGCTAAAGGGTTTTATTTCAAGCATCATGGTAAGAGACCTGGCCACACCTGGGTCTTTCTAGTATGGCCACACCAGCTGCTTATTTTTCTCACAGCTGTCTTCTGATTGGCAGCAGGCGGCAGGAATGGACACGGCGGTTGCCTTGTATTTCTAAGCACTTCCTGTGTGGACACCGTTGTAAATTCTTTACAAGTGACAGCTTACGTCATCCTCCTCATATCAAGTTTATAAAGCAATCGTTCTTGGTTTTTTTTTTTTTTTTTTGTAAGGAGACTGAGGCACAGAAGGATCAAACTATCCACCTAAGAGTCATACAGCTAATAAATCATACAGCCAGGACTTGAACCTGGGCAGTGTGACATCACAGAATCTCCACTGTCTGAGGAGGATTTGATCATAATACTCTGTCTCGTATTTGACCACCCATAAGAGCACTTGCTGCTCTTCCAGAGGACCTGAGTTGGGGTCCCAGCATCCGTCCACATCATGTGGCTCCCAGCTGCCTGTAAATCCGGTTCCAGGAGACTTGATGCCCCTTCTGATGGCCACAGGCCATCAGGTACACAGGTGGCGTGCACTCACCTGGACACACACACATGCACATAAATAACAATAAATCAAGTCTGATTGTTCCTCAGCCCCCTCACCATCCCATCAGGCTCAAGGTACAAGGTCACCCTTGGCCCTGGGTGTCTATAGCCCTGCTTTGCTCGGGCTCCTTGCTTCCCATCTCACTGGGAGTAGAAGCTTGGGAAACCAGGCTCCACTCACTGCCTCAGATCTTCCGTTGTCCTTTCTTAGCTCATGTCCTTTCCCACTCTTCCCCTGCCACACTGAGCGTGTGACCTAATAGAGCCCCAGCGTAGGGCTTTCGAGCTGTTTTCTCCTGGAAGCAGTCTTCCAGAGAGTTCGCACACACTGTTCCTCTTTGCTTGCGTCAGCTCTTGCTTCATTGAAAGAGCCCTTCATTGGCCTGCCGTCTAGACGTACAGCGCAAGGAAGTATGAGTATCGTGAGCAGCATTTGCAAAGCCCCTGCGGAGGGAGGAAGAATTTTTTATTTTTTATTTTTCCTCTCTCCAGAGGGCTTGTGTCCAGATCACAGATGGGCGGCGGAGGTTGTTAGCCGAGGTGACTTGAGAGGGGGCAGGCAATGATGAACATGAAGCTGTGAAGATGGTGTGAAGGACTTGGGCTTCAGAATAGAGCATGTGGCGCCGAGGGTGGCTTGGGAGGCTTCCCTGAGGATGAGTGGTAGATGACAAGGTGGCGCTCAGGGGCCTTCTGGCAGAAGTCACTTTACCAGCAAAAGATGGGAATGCAAGAGCTTCAGCCAGGCCAGGGTGCAGAGGCAGAACACATGACTGTCAGAAATCACACCACCCCAGCCTTGCTCAAGGGGCTGAGGGTGACCAAAGTATGCAGTACAGAGGAGGGTATGTGGGTCGTTGTGGCTGGGACGCGTACCTTACACTCCAGACGGTGCCATCTGCTGTCCTTCCAGAATGCACACACTTCCTTGTCTACCCCTGGGTCCTTCTCACTCTGTAGAACAGGGTGGCCTCGAACTCACAGAGATCCGCCTGTCTCTTCCACTTTGCTTTTGGTTTCTATGGTGATTATATAGGACTAAACTTGAGTCAGAGATGTTCAGATAGATCAGGTACCCTACTTTAGATAATACTCCTCACTCCCCTTCTTCACTGTTTTGTGTGCTCAGGAGGATCTTGAATGAAACCCTGCAGCTGCGGCCTCCCTAGTGCTGAGATTGCTTTCAACGCCTCTTGTCATAGAAGAGGGTCATATCAGCGCTGTGGGCTGCAAGCTGGGTTCTTAGGCATGCTGGTCATGTGCTCTACCACCGAGTTCCTCCCCAGCACCAGGGCAGGGGTGGAGGTTCAGGGGGTGGAAAGCAAGTGTGGAACGGTCTCCAAGCCTTTGTGATTTGCTTGGTTTCAGAATTTGGCGATGGAGCCACTTTGCTAGCAGCAAACCCAGATGCTACCACAATAAACATCGAGGACACTGGTGAGACTTCCAAACACCAACCCAGACCCCGAGGAAGCTCGGGGAGAGAAGAGGATGAGGAGCTGCTGGGAAACAACGACTCTGACGAGACTGAGGTTTGAACTTGCGTTTTACCTTTCTCAGGTCTTAGAGTCCATGCATTTACTCATTATTGGTTGTGTGCCTGGTACAGGGCCAGGCAGTGGTGACACACAGGTGTAGGACCCGTGGCATCACTTTGTGGGGGAAACAGGCAGGTAAACAGACCATCCTTCATGGGAAGTGCCTGTGGGTGTATGCAGGGGAGCAGAGGGAGGGATTTCTGGCATCAGTGGCACCTCGATAAGTCTAATGGAAGGAAGGTGTCGAGGGGAAGAAATGGGCAAGGGTGATGGAGGCAAAGGGAAGGGCGTTAGCAAAGCCACTGAGTATGAAAAGAGCATGGCGTAGGCAGGAACAGCCTGGGTCTCCTGCATTGCAGTAAGGCTGGAGGGAAGACTACAGATAGATGGATGAGGGCCTTCACAGTGAGTTTTGTTGTTGAGTCCCCACAGCAGAGTTTAGTTCATTCTCATACATTCTGGAAATCGTCAGGAGCCAGTGGACCATTTAAATCACGTATCTTGATGAGTTTGAAGATAATTTAGATTTGGTTGCCTTAAATATAAGTTGGCAGAAGACAGACCAGAGTGCAGAAGACCACACAGAGCCAAGCAAAAGGGTCTTGGCCAGCAATGGGAGCAGACTCCAACTCCGCAGGACTTGTGAAATGGTGTAGGTGAAGGAGAGAGCAGGTGGCTGCAGAGATGTGGAGGCCCCCATTGGATCAGGTGGTGTATAAATCCAGTGGGTCTGTACCATGGCCACACAGTTGGGGTGTGTGAGGGAATGGTATTCCTTCAGTATTCTACACCCTGAGATGCCCACAGTCCATGAGAGGAACACTTGCTCAGTGTGTAGCAGAGGCTTCAATGTGCATCTCTTGGATACCGTCACCAGCTACATGAGTCCTTTGTCACAAGCAGGATAGAAATCAGACACTGACTAACCCTGTGGTGAAGGGAAGGTGAATCTATTACAGAAGACTCCCAGAAGACTGCAGAGCACTGGGATTGCAGAGGGGACAGCAGGCCAGGGGGAGGGGCCAGGAGCAAGGCAGGGAGGGAAGGTGTTGAATGTCTTGTGTTCTGTAGGGAAGGACAGAAACTCAGTGCAGACACGCAGCTCTGTTCATGGCTCAGTACGGGCTTGTGTATGCATCACAGCTCCTGCTGTAGTGAAGCTCAGAGAAGCCTGCCTGGTTCTATGTACCCGAAGTCAAGGCACTCTGGAGGATGAGTAAGGATGATTGGGAGTTCAAGGCCAGTCTGGGCTCATAGCGAGACTCTATCCCAAATAAAAACAAAACCAGAACAGTCTTAGGACAGTCCTGTCCTTGGTCAGAATGACAGGGATGTGAGTAGTCACTGGTGTTAACCAGCTTGCCCATAGCTTCCTGTCATGTTCATTTGCTTGCTTGCAGGCTGCTTGGGCTTCCCTGTCTGACTTCTCAGAGGTGTTCATCTCTAATAAGGACCCCAGAGCAGACCTTGGCCTCTGGTCCCTGTTGTTGGAATGGGCTGAACCAAGCCCTTGAATGTTAATTTTAGGTGGGATCTTTGTAACCTAGAAAAACAAATTCAGCCAAAATGTTTACCGAGGCCAGGGCTGAAGGTGGGTTACTAACAAAAGTAGAGCCATGAAAGGGCCAGCCTAAGTGGTTTGGAGCCAAGTTAGAGGAACAGTGCAGTTTTCACTGCTGACTAAGTGGCCTTTGGGTGTGTGAAATAGTACCTGGAAAGAACCAAATAGTCTAGAGAGAGAAGGCTCAGCAGTTAAGAGTACTGGTTGCTCTGCAAGAGGACTAGAGTTTGGTTCCCAGCACCTCTATCAGGGGACCCCAAACTACCTATAACTACAACGCCAGGAGATCCAACACCACCTTCTGGTCTCTGTGGGTACCTGCATGCATGCATGTGAACACACAGAAAAATACACATAAATAAAATGAAAATTAAAAAAAAAATCTGTAAAAAGTTAATTTAAAAAGGGGGGAGGCATGTAGGGGGAGGGGATCCAGATATTTAGTACAGAAAAGAATTCTGCTGGACAGGAGGTCAAGTGGAGATATTTTTGCTTTTGTGTGACCGGTGACCATCAACCATCAAATAGCATAGCATGTAGGAATAGCATCTATTATGGGCACAGGCCCTGAGATCTGGACTCTACTCTGTAGACCTAAAGACTCCAGATAATTCAAATGTAGGACTGTAGGAGACAACAGCAAGTTAGCTTATGTAGTTGAAAATATACATATCAAAATAACACAGTAGCAGCTGGGTGTGATGGTGCAGACCATTAATCCCAGCACTCAGGAGGCAGAGGCAGGCCTCTTGTGAGTTCGAGGCCAGCCTAGTCTACAAAGTGAGTTCCAGGGCAGCCAGAGCTACACAGAGAAGCTCTGTCTCAAAAAGCAAGCAAACAAACAGATGGTGATTTGCTAAGAAGAGCTGGTAGTCCATTTGTGGAAGAGCCAGTGGAATTGGGAATCTGTGCCTTCCTTGGTTAAAGTCACAAAGGAGCCACTAGAGACTAATGAATCAGTCAGCCTTTTCCATGTGTTCTTTTTGAGCAGATCCAATAGGAAGTAGCTGACATAACTCTCAGAGTCCATTTTGTTTGATTTAATTTTATTTTACTTTTTTGAGACAGGGTCTCAGGTTGGCCTGTAACTCAGAGATTGGCCTGCCTCTGAGTGCTGGGATTAAAGATGTGTGCCATCATGGCCAGCAATCAGTCCCTATTAGATTTGCTTTTGTTCTCACCGATTTAAAATCTTACTAAGTTTTCCATTCTTTGGCTGTGCTTTCCTCTGTTTAAGCCTGAGAAGGTGGCCCAAAATACACCCCTTTTCCCCTCTCTAATGTTAAGGTTAGTTGAGGTTCCTCGGGCGTTGTTTAAGGCCTTGTGAGAAGACCCTTGGCTCCGTTAATCTTCGTCGTCTGTGGACCATTCTGCTGGGACGTATCAGAGTCTCACAGCCTTGGGGTTTTATTTTTGAAGCATGGGGATCATTCCCTTTCCATTGAGCCTCCTCTTTGCAGAATGGGTCCTGGTTAGAGGCCAGCCTCAGACAGCAGCAACCTCTCTGACAGAGAGCACTGGTATCTTGCTGGGGCTGCTGACCCCTTCTGGAGGGAGCCCCTTGCCCTCTGGGTATTGTCTGACTTGAAGGGCCAAGCATGACAATTGGCTTTTCAAAGACACCTCCTGACCACCCCACCCCCACCCCCTCACGTCCCCTGGCAGTGCTTCTAAGTTTCAGCTGTTGAACACTTGGGTCAGTTCCTCCAGTCTAGAAGGGGAGGAATGGGTTTTAGTTTTAATTTTTAGAATTTCTATAGATACGGGAGACATCTTGAGCTATAAAGAGCAACCAGGTGGCTGCTCCCTTCAAGACTGTTAAAACTGCCACAACCGATGTCTCCTTTTGGGTAGGATTTGTCTGGTTTGGTTTGGTTTTTGAGACAGGGCCTTGGCTATGTGGCCCTGAGTGGTTTGGAACTCACAGTGCAGACCAGGTTAGCTTTGAATTTGCTGTGATCCTTCAGCGTGATGGTAGCATATGCCTGTGTCTCTGTACCCAGCTGACAGGATTTTAATTGGGCTTACTTTTGTTCAGTTGGGGCCATCGCACCATAAAGCAGGGCCAGAAGTGGAGACATAGTCCAGCCAATTCATGTCCCTGAGAGGACCCTTAAAGTGTTCACATTGTCCTCCTTTAATTAATTAGACTCTCATCTTCATCATTATTGTGACTATTATTATTTTGGGTTTTCTGAGACAGGGATTCTCTGTGTAGCCCTGGCTGTCCTAGAACTCACTCTGTAGACCAGGCTGTTCTTGAACTCACAGAGATCCACCTGCCTCTGCCTTCTCAGTGCTGGGATTAAGACTCTCATTGATTATTATTATTATTTTTTTTAAATACGTTGTTTTCTCCAGGCCTGCCAGGGTGGCTCTGTGGGGAAGGTCCTCCTACACAAGCCAGGTCACCTAAGGATGATCTCCCAAACCTGTGTAGAGCTGGGAGGAGAAGAGAGAAGCAACCCCACTAATGTCCTCTGACCTCCCTGTACCCTTCCTGCACAAAAGAAATGAATAAGTGCAACAAACTTGTTTTGAGACAGTATCTCATGTAGCTCAGGCTGGCTTTGATCCCACTGAGTACTGAAACTGACCTCACACTTCTGATCTTCCTGCTTCTGCCTTCTACGTTTTAGAATTACCGGCACATGCTGCCGTGCCTGGCCCTGTAATTTACTAAGAGGTTACTTTTGGCAAATTATGAAATATTAAATGACATAAATAATTAAATCATTTCATAGATGGGTATGGTGGGCATATTGTAACCCTGGCACTCTCAGCATTAAAAAGGTATAAGTAGGGGAGTCTGAAGTTCAAGGCCATCCTGGGCTGCATGGCAAGACTGTCTCAAAACAAAACAAAAACAAAAAGAAACTGAAACCCAAAGGAGAGAGGGTAGCTGTTACGCTTTGTTCTCATTTACAGATGGACTCCCTAAGTGACTAACGTCCAATTCTTTCAGTTATCAGGATGCCACTTCCTTCCTGGAGTATCAGGTGTTTGGGCAGGGATAATTATTTTTGCTCGAGGATAAGAGCATGCAGACATGAGCCTGAGCTAGCACTGCTAACAGTTCGGTTTGGGGGACACCTGCGTGGTAACATGCACTTTAAATGCTGCATTTTAGAAGATTCGTATTCTGAGGCGCACAAATACATTAAGTATACAAAGAAGGCAATATTAGTTGGCGTCACACCGCTCAGCTCCTGAGTGCTGGGATTCCAGGCGTGTGTCACCATGCCTGCATTGCACTTACTTTTAGTTTTTTGCGTTTGGTTTTTGAGACCCACCTGGAACTCACAGCCACCCTTGTGCCTTTGCCTCCTGAGTGCTGGGATTGCAGGCATGAGCTACAACACCTGGCTTCGACTTTTGCTTTTGAAGTAAAATTTAGACTCTCTGTCTTGGCAGAATGTTAGGTCCATATATATTAACTGCATTACCCCCTGCCCTTCCTTTTTAAGTAGGCGAAAAACTTTACCAAACTCTTGTCTTAAGCTTTTTTTTTTTTTTCCTTTGTTTTTTGAGACAGGGTTTCTCTGTGTAATAGCCCTGGCTATCCCTGGAACTCCCTCTGTAGACCAGGCTGGCCTCTAACTTAGAGACTTGCCTGACTCTGCCTCCTAAGTGCTAGGGTTAAAGGCGTGCACCACCACACTCACAGTAAGCTTTCTTATCAGGCCTTTTCAGATTAATTATCTGCATTGAGTGATTTGAATATAAACAAAAACTGAAGAGAACTATAGTATTCAAGAGGTTTGGGCTTTACAATAGATAGTTATTATCAGTGTGTGTGTGTGTGTGTGTGTGTGTGTGTGTGGGTGGGTGGGTGGGTGTGGGTGTGTGTTAACATGCACCACAAGGCCAAGCAAATGTATCGGCTCCCCAGGAACTGGAGTTACAGGTGGCCGTGAACCACCCAATATGGATACTGGGAATGGAACTCTGGTCCTTGGGAAGAGCAGCAAGCACTCTTTACTTCTGAGCCATTTCTGCTGCCCCTTAGAGCTAGATTTTTAAGTGCAGTCGTAATAAAAACTAGCAGCTCCTGGTGACCTCTTTGCTGTTTAGTTTGCTCCTTATGAAGGACCTTCCTTCTCTCTACCCTCTCCGGTAGCAGATGGCGCTTTCCCTCTGCAGCTGCCTGGCTGATGATGACAGGTCATGACCGTCACCTGCTTTGTCTCAGCACGTATGCTGCCTGAGACATGTCTGCTCTTCCTGGGTTGTTGAAGTAGGTTGCCCTCCAGGTCTGTAAAGGCTCCCCTTCTCAGCACTGTAGATAATCTTACCTTTAACATCCGTCAGAAGAACTGGAGTCTTCCTCACCCCTGCAGCTGTCCACGCCACCTCCTTTCTGCTTTAGTTCCCTTCTGTTGCCGTTCCTGAAGTCTGGCAGTCTTCCTGGCTCCTGATAGTTTCTTCCACTTGTCAGCATGGAAGTGGAGACACAGCGGGCATGAGGGCCGGCACTCAGGGGTTCTGGAAAAATCTGCTCAGATTAGCAACAAATAAGATGGAGCCAAGATCTGGAGCAGATATGAATGACAGAACTGACAAAGAGTATCTTCTATCTGAAATTCGTCTGGATGTACCGAATATAAGTACAGAGATGCATTGACCCTTCTATACATTCAAGGTCTAGATTTAATGTGTATTGCAGAAGCAAGAATACCTGCAGATTAAATCTATGTCAATTTTTGTATATCTGATCTTATATATGCATTTATTGTATTAATTAGTAACCTAAAATAATAGTTGCTTATTTAAGCAGATTTTAGCATACATTGTTTATTTGTGTGTGGGTGTGCATGTCCCACAGTGCATTTGGGGGTCAGAAGACAAGTTGTGGGGAGTAGCAAGTGTTCATAACCTCAAAGCCATCTTTCCGGCCCCCCAAATCTGTTTATTTAAACATGCAGGATAGGTCTTAGTTTTATGTCAATGTATTAAGTTTTTAATCTCAGGAAATAGTTTTCAATAACCTTTAATTTAAAAAAAGTTATTATTATGCCTATGGGTTTTTTCTACCTGTGTATACCTGTTGCCCAAAAAGACCAGGATAGGGTGTCAGATTTCTTGGGACTGGAGTTAAGGATGATTGTGAGCCATTATGTGGATGCTGGGAATCAAACCCAGGTCCTCTGCAAGTACAGTCAGTGCTTATAACTGTTTAGTCATATTTCCAGCCCACAATAACGTTTGAATTAGTGTCAGCCTGATCTCGTGCATAAACTGTTTATACAGCTGCTCACACAGATTACTGTGACTTCCTGGTTTTGTCTTTATTCTTCATTTCAGGGATAATCCTTTACTTTAGGTTACAGCCTAACTTTACCATACAAAATCCTTTCTCAGCCCAAATATTCTCTGTCCTAGTAACTTCTACTGATCATATATTTTAATAAAGATCCAGAAAGAAACCGTTTTAATAGGCCAGTAGACCTGAGCATGAGGAGACCCTCATAGAAAGACAGCAAGAGTCCTTGAGTTTATGTTCAGAGCATTCACTGTTCTTTCAGAGGTGTTGAGTTCAATTCCCAGCACCCACATGGCAGCTCACGCCTGTCTATAACTGTGGTCCCATGGTGTGGTGGTTTGAAGGAAAATGACCTCCAAAGAGTGTTACTATTAGGAATGTGGCCTTGTTGGAGTAGGAGGGTCTTGTTGGAGGAAGTGTGTCACTGTGAAGGTGAGCTTTGAGGTCTCATATGTGCTCAAGCCACACCCAATGAGATAGTTCACTTCCTGTTGCTTGCACCGTGTCTGCCTGCTTGCTGCCATGCCTCACCATGATGGTAATGGACTAATCCTCTGAACTGTAAGCCACCCCAATTAAATGTTTTCCTTTATAAGAGTTGCCATGGTCATGGTGTCTCTTCACAGCAATAGAAACCCTAAGTCACATGGGATCTGATGTCCTCTTCTGGTGTGCAGACATACATGTAGACTATGTATTATGTATGTATACAATATATACACACATATGAGTCTATACTTATATCTGAAATACATATGCATACATATGAAATCTATAAATATATATGTAAATAATAATTAAATGGAAAAGATGAAGAAATTAGGAAGTGTGCTTGGAGCTGACCATGTTTCATTTCACCTCTGACAGTTACTTGCTGGCCAGAAGAAAAGCTCTCCGTTCTGGACATTTGAATACTATCAGACATTCTTTGATGTGGACACTCACCAGGTTTGTGAACCGGCTTCACTCTTTTATTTTCCATAATGGGGACTTGTGTCTCTGAGATGGAGCAGCCGTCATGTGAGAGCCACAGCACTGGAAGTGCTCTTCCTAAAGCACAGAGGCCTGCTGCATATAAAAACATTGTCATAAACATCCCAATAACCAACTAAGGAAAGCTGACCCTCGGCGGAATTACTGCTGTGTTGCCTTGCAGGTCTTTGACAGAATAAAAGGGTCTCTACTGCCCGTGCCTGGGAAGAACTTCGTGAGGCTGTATGTCCGCAGCAACCCAGATCTCTATGGTATGTACAGTGCCCTTGCTTCCCTGCTGCATCCCATTAAGCCTGGTACGTGTGGGGGTTGCCTGGAAGGTTAGAGAATTGCACTGTTAGTAGCGTGTACAGTGGTTTTATTTGACTCTCTGATATCTAGTATCAGGCTGCAGAGAATTTGGTGGGGAATGGAATTTCATGGCACATGAATGCTGCAGCTGCAATTATTAGTCACCCTTTACAGGTTGCGGGTGACTGGTGTGGGCTTGAGGCGGATGAAGCTTCCTGAGTGCTGCTGGTTTTCCCTTGTGGAGGGTTTGGAGGGGGAGGGTGGAGTAGGATCTGACTAGACTCCAAGGGGCATTTGAGTCCTTGGTCCACAGCTTGTGGCACTGTGTGGGTAGGATTAGGAGGTGTGGCCTTGCTGGAGGGAGTGCGTCACTGGGGACACGCCACTTCCAGTTGGCTTTCTGCTCGCTGCTTGAGCTCTCAGCTGCCCAGCTCGTCTGCTGCCACACTTCACCACTGTCATGGCGGTGGACCGTAAGCCCGAATGAACCTTCTATGAGTTGCCTTGGTCACAGTGTTTTAATCCATTTCCCGTACACTTTGTCACTTATGTACTGAGTTCCCTCTCAGCTGCCAGGTTGTGTGGAGTTGGGGGGGACAGGGACTGGCCCTCCATTGACAGTCTAAAACAGGGGTGGGCTAAGGAATGGGTGTAACCCCCGACTCCCCTGCTATCTGAGGAAAACATGGAGGCTCACCCAGGGCTCCTGAGGAAAGGGCCTGTGGCCTTTTGTATTTGAGGAGAGGTGAGGCAAGAAGGCAACCCTGTTCTTTCCTTGGACTCCCTATGCTGGGCGCCTCATTCTGAGGGCAGCTCTCCTTCAGGTCATCTTTTCTAGAAGTGTCTTCACAGTCGCCCAGAGATGTGTTCCCTAGATGAGTCTAAATCCAGTCAAAGTAACAATCAAGACCAGGCTGGCAAGACGGCTCCTGGGTAGAAGTAGTTGCTGATGACCTTGTTTTGATATTGAAAACCCAGTAGAGCTAACTCACAAAAGTTGTCCTTTGACCTCGTGTGTCCTTGAGTGGGACACTCCGGCATTTTTGTGAAGACTCAAAGTTGACATTAGGAGTCTTTCTCAGATGCTTTTCACTTTATTCTTTGAGGCAGACATGATCTCTGTAGCTCTTAGAGTGAGATCTGTAAGCATCAACATGGATAGAGCTCAGAATAATGACAAATGAAGAAGCAGCTGTTGAAGGGTATGAGTGCTGTTATTGATATCATTAGCAGCGGTGCATGCTCCCATATATGAGGCCAGAGGTCAGTATTGGCTGTCTTCCTCAATTTCTCTTGACTTATTTATTTGAGGCAGGGGTACCGAAGCCGAAGCTTGCTGACCTGACTAGACTGGCTGGTCCCAGTCCCAGTCCCCCCCTGCCCCTTTCTCCCCAGCACTGGATTATAAGTGTACATGGTGTGCCTGGCCTTTCTTGTGAGGGTGGGAGATGAAATTCAGACCCTTAACGCTTTCACGTCAGATACTTAACTGAGCCATCTCCCCAGCTCTATTAAAAAGACATTTTTAAAGCAGTATATGTACACCTGTTTGTCTTATTATTCTAAACTATTTCTCTGTTACAAATATTGCGCAGTATAAAAGTAATCATATAATACATTAAATATTATCACTAATTTATTAATTAATATAGCAAATATTGAAACATATTAAACATAATAAAATTAATATATGATAATTTTTAAAGTGCCATTAATTATTATAAATATAACCCAGGTTAAGGTTTCATCCCACTTTCACCGTGTAAGAGTTGAAATTTGGGAGGAAAGGGGGAGAGAGAAGGCAGAATGAAGCAACCTGTTAGAAGCTGGGGTGAGCGTATGTCATATGACACTCGGGTAGGTAGCTGGAAAGGTTGCTGAGCCTTGATCATCATGGGTGTTTTCTATCAGCCCGAGGGATTTAGATTTTGTTCTTAAGCAGTTGGGGGTTCATTAAAAGCCTGTAATTAGGACAGAAGGTGAATAAAAATACCCCAGAAGACAGTTTAGAGCTAGGACAGGTTTCTGGAGTGTGTGCATTTGAGTTAAACTGGCAACTGGCAGAGCAGTAAGCAGGTGTCAATGGCCTGTTAGGCCTGAAGTGTCTGTGTTGTTAGCTTAGCGCTCAGGACAGCCCAAGAATGGCAGGCAAGGCCTCCGTGGGTACAGCAGACTCCTTGTCCACAGGATCTGCATCTGTGATTCAACCAACCAAAGCTCCGCAGTAGGTTTAGAAAATTCCGCATTTGTGCTGAGCATGCACACAGGCTCTTTGTCACTATCCCCTAAATGGTACCGTTTGATCACCCTACAGAGCTCTGCATTGCAGTAGGTATACCATGTGATCTGAAGACCTGGGAGGCTGTGTGGAGATTATGTGCAAACAGTGTATCAGTTTAATACATTGAGCATGCCAAGATTTAAGTATCCGTGAGCACCCAGGAGCCCATCCCTTTCTTATACAGAGGGGCAGGTGCATAATTGCCTCCTATACCAGGTTTTCTCTTGCCACAAGTTGAGTTCCTGTCTCTAACAGGGCTCCTGGGCCCTCCATGATCTGGCCTTGTCTGTCTCCAACCTCAGGTTGTTCCCTTGACCTGGAACAGTCTTTCCTTGGTTTTGCCTTTGTTCGTGCTGTCCTCTCATCCTGATTCGTATTGTTCCCTCTTCCTGAGTCAGCTTCCTGAGTCCTATGACACTATAATATTTGACCACTTGTATTCTTATGTTTGCATAGCCTAGCAAAACTTTTATTTCTTATCATCAACATTATTATTGTTATCATTATTATTTTATTGAATATGTATTGGTGTTTTGCCTGCATATATGTTGTGCACCACATGCCTGCCTGGTACCTGTGAAGACCAGAGCATCAAATCCCCTGGAACCAAAATCATAGACACTTGTGGGTTCTGGGATGAACCTTGGTCCTCTAGAAGAGCAGCCAGTGCTATTAACCACTGAGCCATCTCTCCAGTCCTAGCAAAGCTTTTTGGTAGTGGAGTTTTTGTAGGCTTTGTTTTGATTCTTACGTCTCTTGTGTCACAGGAAGTTAAAATAGTACTGTGAGGTGTGCCCTGGACCATGGCACAGAGCCTGCACTCCAGTGAGGAAGCAAGTGACTTGTGAAAGCTGGTGTTGGTGGCTCCGTGGGGTCAGTGATTGCCCAGCTTCCCTTTCCTGCCTTCAGGAGTCAATACTTGCCTTTGAAAAGCCCTCATCCATCTGCATTATTCTCCCCAATGCAATAATTTAATTAATTTTATGATATTTCAAGGTATCTGAAGTTAGATCCAAAGATAACTGCCATATATTAGTGAAAATGAAAAATGTAAATATCTTAATTTAAAAACTGTCATTTGTTCTACATAGTCAATTAATTTTTGTATGTGTGTGGTATTGTGTATTGTGTGTGGTGTGTATGTACATGCATGTATGCATGTGCACATGTACATTTATGTATGTTTGTGTGACATTGGGTGTTTTCCTTGAATACTTTCTACCTTCATTCTTTGAGGTAGGTTTCTCACTGAATCTGAAGTGCATCTATTTGGTCAGATTGTTCAGGAAACTTCAGAAATTTACCTGTTTCTGTTTCCTACCCCTTCTCCCACCAGAATCTGGGGTTATAGATGTACTACCATGTGCAGTTTTCATGTGAGTTCTGGAGAGCCAAACAGTCTTGCATGGCAGATTTCTTACTGACTGAGCCATCTTCTAAGACCCATAGTAACTTAAAGGAAAAAAAAAAATTGTTTGTTTGAGACAGGGTTTCTCTGTATAGATTGACTGTTCTGGAACCCACTCTGTAGACCAGAATGGCCTTGAACTCACAGAGATCCTCCTGCCTCTGACTCCCCAGTGCTTCGATTAAAGGCATGCACCATCAATACCCAATTAAATTTTTTAAAAGATTTATTTGTTTTATTTTTGTATGTGCACCACATATGAACCTGGTACCTGCATAGGTCAGAAAAGAGTGTTGGATTCCCCCAGAACTTGAGTTATAGATGGTTATGAACCACTTTGTGGGTGCTGGAAACTGAGCCCAGGCTCTCTGCAAGTGCAACACATGCTCTTCACTGCTACATCATCTCTCCAAACCCCTTAATACTTTGTCTAGGTATAGGGGGGATAAGGATGGTGTTAAGAAATCAAGCACTCTGGGTGGTGGTGGCTCACACTCTTAATCCCAGCACTTGGAGGCAGAGGCAGGTGGATTTCATTGAGTTCAAGGCCAGCCTGGTCTATAGAGTGAGTTCCAGGACAGCTAGGGCTACATAGAGAAACCCTGTCTGGAAAAAACAGAACAAAAAAAGAAACCAAGCACATGATGAAAGGATTTGCTGTTTTTATGAGGAGGTGTGGGAGAATCTCCCAGGGAGATGGCGGTAAAATAGGAAGTTGTCCAGCCACATGTGTGTCTTGTCATCTGATTAGACTATGCACATACATGCACACACATGCACACACATCTACATGCCCCTATGTATGTGTTGACTGTTTCAGGCAGGATTCACTAGGAACAGATCTGGGATGAGAGGCAGGGAAGCTTGCTTGCTTTTTTTCCTGTGTTTTCTTTTCAACCTGGAATTACGGGGTGTGTGTGTGTGTGTGTGTGTGTGTGTGTGTGTGTGTGTGTGTGTGTGAGATAGGGTCTTGTGGGCTGGCTGTCTGACTTGGAACTCACCGTGTAGACAAGGTTGTCCTCAAACTTGCATCGATCCTCCTGCCTCTGCCTCCTGAGTGCTGGGATTGATGACAGACATGTGTGACTATGCCCAGCTGATGGATTACCTTTGCATTAGAAAGGGAAAGAAGACAGCTCCAAACACATGGTCACATGGATGGCCCTGGTTAAACTTCTAAACTTGGTGTAAAACAAAGCACAAAGGTGCCAATGTGAGAAGGATTTGTAGGGAACGGGGCGGGGGTGGGAGGGAGTAGACAGCTGTTGTAAGGAGATGGGAGAGGGTGGGGTGTGAGAGTGGTCACTGTACATTACAAACATGTGTAAAACTTTAAAAATATAAGTTTGTTCAAAAAAAAGGAAAGGAGCAAAAAAATGGCAGTATTTAACTGTGTCTCTCCATCTGTCTCTCTGTTACTGTATGTCTCAGACACACAAACACAAACACACACATGCAGTGATGGTGATTAAGTAGGTTATAGACTTTTTCCCTTAAGATTTATATTTTTTCCTTATGTATGTATGAGTGTTTTGCCTACACGTATGTGTGTGTAGCACATGTGTACCTGGTTCCTGCAGAGATCAGAAGAAGGCATATGAGTCCCCTTCATCTGGAGTTATGAGCCATTGAGAGCCAGTGTGTGGGTGCTGAGAATTGAACCTGGGTCCTCTGGAAGAATAGCTGGTGCTCTTAACCACTGAGCCATTTCTCCAGCCCCCAAGTTGACTTTTGCCTGAGATTTTTCTCCTTGTACTTCTTTTCATTTGTAATGCAGAAGGACCTGGCTGATTCAGCCACATGTCCTCTGATCTTAACTTGGGTGCTTGTGTACAGGAAGTAATCTTTGCTTCTTGTGTTCTGAAGGCTTAAGAAAGTGCGTGTGCATGTTTGACGATCCTTTACTCAGGGAAACCATACAACAATATCTTCATTCACCTAGTGTGGAGTGTGTTTTGGCCATGGGTTCTGATTGCCCGTGCTTTTAAGGCACCTAATTACTGAGTTGTGTTTAGACCTTTTGAGAGTGAACGTTCCCATTAGGTGAGTGTTGACGACATCCACAATTCTTTTCCTCTTGCTTGTCTGAAGAGGAAGAGGCTGGTAAGAAATGATTGTGAGAGAATCTACTGAGTGCCTCATTTCCTCGTTCTGCATCTTCTTGTTGCTTTGCAGGCCCCTTTTGGATATGTGCCACCTTGGTCTTTGCCATAGCAATTAGTGGGAACCTTTCCAACTTCTTAATCCATCTGGGAGAGAAGACATACCATTATGTGCCCGAGTTCCAGAAAGGTAGGTGAATATTGTGACGTGTTTAGAATGTGGACCATCTCTGACCACCCTCTGAGCACAGTGTTCTAGCACTGCACCCCTGCTCTCTAATACAGCGCCTACCTCAGAGTCCTCCATGCCATGTCTGTGTAACCCACAGTCCTCCCCTCCATGGCAGAATTCTATTGCACATAACCTTCCATCCTAAGTGTGCACTCTTCAGTGGCACTCATATATTCACAGTCTTGTAAATCTATATGACATTTAGGGAAGCTGTCAGACTGAATAGTGAGTGATTGGAGTTTATCCTAAAAAATCTGTGAACGACTAAAGCAGTGTGCATGAAGTCTTGACTGTAGCAGTGTTTGCATTATTCAGGAACTGGAAACAGCAGAGGCATTGTTCTTAAGTTCTGATGGCTCAGCTAGCTGAGATGCCTGTAGCCACTAATTACAAAGCACCTAGGGATCATGGGAACAAGTAACTAAGCCAAATGGTGCCTGTTATGTTGGCAGTTTTGTTAATGACAGGCTGCAGTGGTCAAGACTTAGAGGGAACCACATAGAATGTGACCCCAGCATGGAGCTCGTAAATGACATTCTTGCTTTAAAATGACCTTCCTCCCTCCCTCTTTCTTTCTTTCCTCCCTCCCTCTCTCCTTCCCTTCCTCTTTCCCTCCCTTCCTCCTTTGTCTGTCCTTCCTTCCTTTCTCCCTTCCTCCTTTTTCCTCCCCCCTCCCTCCCTCCCTCCTTCTCCATCTCTTTGATTTGGGGGGGGGGAAGGATAGGGAAGGAGGGAGAGGGAGAGTCAAAGTCCATGTAGCCTTCTTTTTCTCCATTTTTACCTTCTATTTGTTTTTCTGAAACAGGGTTTCTCTGTGTATCCTTGGCTGGCCTCAAAATTCACAGAGATCCACCTGCCTCTGCCTTTGCCTCCCAAGCGCTGGGATTAAAGGTGTGTGAAGCCACCTCCTGGCTCCCTTTTTACCTTCTCTTGTGTCCCTTTAAGCATGGAGTCAGACATAGATTCAGTCCTGTTTTATTGAAACTCTTCATTGACTGTAAACTTGGACCATGTTCTCTGAGAGGCATGGGCGTTGCCTTCAGGTGGCTCAGTGGTTGGTCAGAGCAAGACTGTTGCTGTGAGTCGTTTAACTTCCACATTGCAAGTCCATGCAAAGCTACTGATGGAGAAGAAGCAGGTGGCCTTCCCTGCCTGGGGAGGGAGGTGGGCACAAGAGGGTCCTTGTCTGTTGTTATCCCCTCAAGCCGAGCACCCCAGTATTGGGAAGATACTCATTGCTCTTTCTGTGAGCGTTGTCTGAGCATATGTCAGGAGAGTGAGTCCTAAGCCTGTGGTTGGCTCAGTTGGTGAAGGTGCTTGCGTACACCCTGATGCTTTGAGTTCAGAAACCACAGTGGAAGAAGAGAACTGACTCCTGAAAAGTTGTCTGGCATTCACGTGTGTGACATGTGTGCGCGTGTGCACACACACACTCCCCATATATACATTAATAATAATTTAAAAACCTTTTTAAAGTAAAGTCATATCTAAGGTTAAATCCTGCTCCAACTAACTCGTTAGTTAATGTATCACCTTGATCAAAATGCTTGACATCTCTAGCCCTGTTTTCTCTAAAGGGAAAATAGAGATGATAGGAGACACTATGTCTGTATTCTAGCTAATAACATAAAGTGGTAGTTTTAATTTTTAACGTGGTTTGCAATATAGTTCTGGCCATAAAGCTGTGATTGTGTTGCCTTAGCCTTGGTCCCAAGCATTGGGATTACAGTCATGTTCTTGTGTCATTAATAACAACAACAATCACTAACACTTAGATTGCAATCTTTTGTGTGTGGTGTGATTCTGGGTCTTGAGCATACTTGCTACCCAGCCTCGTTCCAGTCCTTGTTCTTTTAAGACAAAACTTCATGTGGCCCAGGTTGACTTCCAAGTCACTATGTATCTGAGGGTGCCTTTGAACTCTTGATTTTCCTGCCTCTACTGCCAAAGCGCTGGGATTACAAGCTCTGATACCATGTCTGGCTAAAAAGCTAATTCTTTTATTTATTTATTTTCATATATTTATTTTTAAAATGATGTCTCTGCATAGCTCTGGCTGTGCTGGAACTCACTCTGTAGATCAGACTGGTCTTGAACTCACAGAGATCTGTCTGCCTCTGTCTCCCAAGTGCTGGGATTAAAGGTGTGCAGCACAGTGCCCAGCATTATTTATTCCTTTTTAAATTTTGTTTATGTAGCATGTGTTTTGCCTGCATGTATGTCTGTGTACCACTTGCTTGCCTCTTGTGCTAGGAGGTCAGAAGAAGGAATCAAATCCCCTGGAATTGGAGTTATAAATGGTTGTGAGCTGTCATGTGGGTGCTGGGAATGGAACCTGGGTTCTATGGAAGAGCAGCTAGTGTTATTCATTGCTGAGCCAGCTCCCACCCCTGTATCTAGCTCTTAATTGAGTATGTATTATAGGCCAGTCACTGCTCATAAAAGCTCTTACCTGTGTTTGTTTTATTTTCCTAATAACCTCATAAGGTCATCTTACTCCCATTTTGCAGACAGGGAAACTGAAGCAAGAAGGTTTTGTAACTCTCCACTCAGGGTTGCTTTGCCCAGGATTAGAACCCATGGCCTGGAATCTGCTTTGCCTCAGACACCACATTGCCTCTCCTAAAGCTCTGAGTGCAGTGTCTGATGTCCAGCCAATGCTTAATAAGCAGTAGCTAGAGCCAGGGTAGAATTTCCTTCCCCAGCACTTCCCCACCCAAGGAAAAGGGATTGTGTCAGCAAAGCTGCAGTGGCTCAATAACTGCATTCCAACAGGAGTGAAAACTGCCTGGAGCCCTCAAAGGCTCTGGACAGTGGCGTGCTTTAGTCAGAGTCTGACTATAATTGCTAGGAGGGGCCTGTTTTCGCAGGAGGTGCTGATAGGATTGTTTGCTGATTTTCACATGGGATGGGCTGGTGCCTTGGCTTAGCGTGCTCTGGGATTGTCACTCCAGAAGCAGGAAGACAGTCCTGGAGAGCTGCTCTTCAGAGAGGAGACTGTCCAGTGGTGTTTCCCAGGAGCTGCTAATGGGCACGTCTGCTGCCGAGGCAGTTATTTATGTGGGGAAGAAACGAGTGTGGAGGTTATCTCAGGCACTCCTGAGCTGCAGCTCCATCATTTAGAGACAGATCACTAGATGGCATGCAGAGCAGGTTAATCTGTACCCAGAGCATTTTAATACATTTGCTAAAGAAATCAGTGTCAGCTCTTGTTTGGCTAGGGAGGAAAATGTGTTCTTCCAGGGAAATAGTTGGATTTTATTTGATCCAAAAGCTCAGTGTACTTAGGCACGCTAAGTATGACTCTCTGAAGTATTACCGCTACATACTTCAGTTGTTTTGATTACTAGTTTTTAGTCACTAAATCAATGATAAAACCACATAGGAGACACTGGTCACTACCACAGAGATACTACATGCCAAGGAGTCATTAGATCAGCAAACATTTATACAGCACCTACTGTGTGTTGGATGCTGTGCCAGGCCCAAGAAATACAGAACAGAAGGGTGTGAAGCAGCCTGGCAGTGGCGCACGCCTTTAGTCCCAGCACTCTGGAGGCAAAGGCAGGCAGATCTCTGAGTTCAAGGCCAGCCTGGACTAGAGCAAGTTCCAGGACAACCAGGACTAGTCAGAGAAACCAAAACCAAAACAAAACACATGAAGCACCCTGATGGCGTGCCTGCTAAAGGCTTGATTACGACAGAACTGTTCTGTCATCTGCAGTGTCCATAGCGGCTACCATCATCTATGCTTATGCCTGGCTCGTGCCTCTGGCTCTCTGGGGCTTCCTCATGTGGAGAAACAGCAAAGTGATGAACATCGTTTCCTATTCTTTTCTGGAGATTGTGTGTGTTTACGGCTACTCGCTCTTCATCTATATCCCCACAGCAGTGAGTACCATGCCAAATAGGCTTAAGTGATGCTGTTTGGGGTGGAAAATTCAACCAACTATTCCATGGGGCCTTGGAATTTCCAGCCTATTGCTCCCCTGCCCCCGGAGGTTCCTTTTGAATTTAAAATGCAGGATGGATGGGTGCTGGGAAGGCAAGGGCTTTGGCTGTGTCAGGCAGGAGTCTGGGTTAGGACATCCATCTGCACGCTGGTAGCATGCTCTGCAAAGCCACGTGACAGTGCATACCTAGTTGCTGCCCGGCTTAGGGGCTTTGTGAACATACGTGCTGGGAAGGAACAGACACATCCGAACTCTCCTTCATGCTCTCTCCTTTTCCAGGTACTGTGGATCATTCCCCAGAGAGTTGTTCGTTGGGTCCTAGTCATGATTGCCCTGGGCATCTCAGGGTCTGTGCTAGCAATGACATTTTGGCCAGCTGTTCGAGAGGATAACCGGCGTGTGGCCTTGGCTACCATTGTGACAATCGTGTTGCTTCATGTGCTGCTGTCTGTGGGCTGCTTGGTATGTTCTTACTGTATCCTCTTGGTGTGGTTTTATGTATGCAGCATTCTACATGCATGTATGCCGACAGGTCAGAAGAGGGCACCAGATCTTATTATAGATGGTTGTGAGCCACCATGTTGTTACTGGGAATTGAACTCAGGACCTCTGGAAGAGTTGCCAGTGCTCTTAACCGCTGAGCCATCACTCCAGCCCATCCCTGAAATGTGTTCTTAATAATGATAATGACACTTCCCTGCTCCACCTTTCCCAGGTTGTGGGACCGAAGGTAGAATCGTCCTGCCCATCTTGCTGCTCAAGAATTTTCTAGGAGAGAGCCAATGTGATGAGATGATTTAGTGGGTAGAGGTGCTTGCTGCCCAGCTTCATGACCTGAGTTCAAGCCCCGGGACCCACATGAGGGAAGGAGAGACCCGATCCCTTTGCGTGGCCCTCTGATCTCCAGACATGCACTGTATCCCTTGTGCCCCCCATACTCTAATAACTGTGATTTGAAGGTAAAGTCTTTTCCTAAAAGAGAGTATCATTCTGAGGTAGGAAGAGCTCTGACCCTGGAGGTGCTCAGTGATGTAACTGAGACACCTTAGCTGTCACAGTCTCGGCTGTCCTCCCTTTCTGGGCTTCAGTGAGAGTCAGCCTGTGGCAGGAATCCCTTTCTCTACTGCCAAGGCTTCGGGTCAAAGGTGTCAGCAGGTTTTCAGGACCACTCTGCTGCAGATTGTAAGCTGATACTCTCCAGGAGTGACCCAGGGTCACACTGCTCATAAACTGAGTGGGACTCTTGTTTCACACTGTGACCTTACACCTCATTGGTGTCTCTCCCTGGGCCATCTGTGACTGAACTTTTCACACAGTCGGTCAACTTGGCTGAGAAGTTTTTGGAGAGGCAGAGGGAGGAGAGATGCACATTCCATTTGGCTCTGAGAAGTCTCCTAATCAGGGATGTTGGACTGTGGGCAGAGGTGTCCACCACGAGAAGGGCTCTTCTTGTGGAGAAGGCGCTGTGTTCTGGATGGAGGGAGCCCTTGATGACCAGATGCTGAGCTCTCTTCTGAACTCTCCTGGAGGAGGGCTGGTCAGGATAGAGGACACCAGGGGTCCAGTCCAGCTCGCGCACTCCTGCTTTGGCCATTTCTCTACTCTGGATTCCTTTCTCTTTCCATAGATAAAGGTGGCAACCATGCACACCGTAGACTGTCTGTCCTGCTGGAAGGGTTGCATGAGATAGGCAGCATGAGAATTATGACCAGACAACTGAGTCTGGTGGCTCACTTCTGTCACCCCAGTACTTGGGAGGCAGAGGCAAGAAGATTGCCGTGTGTGTGTGTGTGTGTGTGTGTGTGTGTGTGTGTGTGTGTGTGTGTGTGTGTGTGGCTTGCTTGGGCCTCACAGTGAGTTCCATGGCATTCAGAGGTCTATAGCAAGACCCTGACTTACCAACAAGGGGTTGCTGGGAGGGTGGTTCAGTTGACACAGTGCTTCCAGGGGACCCAAGTTCAGTCTCCAGAACCCGAATAAAAAGAGCTGGGCATGCGCATGCCTGTGACCCTGGAACTGGGGAAATGGAGACAGGCAGGACCCTGAGGCACACTGTCAGTCAGCTTAGCCTACTTGTTGAGTTCTAAACTAGTGAGAGACCTTGTGTGTTTTTGAAAGAGGAGGTGGAGGATGGTGCCAGAGGAATATAAACTTGAGGGTGTGCTCTAGCCTGCACACACATGTACACATGTACCTATACACCACATACAGGTGAGCATGTACATAGACACACACATCCAGAAGAGAAAAGAAAACTATGTCTATTCTTGTAATCAGAAGACATTATTATTGTGGAAAGTGTGAGGAGTTGACTAGGGAGTCATTTGAGCTGAGGGGGTACCAGCTGAACCACCAGCCTGGCCTGGCTTTCTCAGTCTCCCTTGGGAAGCCCGGATTGGTGTTTTTGTCTCAGTGCAGTGATAGTGTGTGGCAGCCCACACCTGCTGAGGTCCCCCGATGACCGCGCTTGAAAATGATCTCCAGGTTTCCACTGAACACACCTGGCGGGGACAATGGAGGAAGCTCCCAGAGGGCGGGTCCTGAGTGGGGTTGTCGAGAGTCAGACAAGCCCATGTTTGAATTACTGCCGACCACAGAGAGAACAGTGCCTGCTGGCCCACGGTGCCTCAGGATGGGCTGGACCGGGCATAGACCCTGTTCCAGATCAGAGGCTGTGTAGAAGATAATATTGCCTTTTAGTGACCATCTTATCAATCTTTTTACATACAAAACTGAAGAGATTGGGGGGGGGTGTGCTTGTCTAGAGGCACAGTGTCAGTGACTTGTGGTGATATGTTGTTTGTACTATATCAAATAAAGCTTGCCTGAAGAGCAGAGTGCAGAGCCAGCCACACTAGTTAGCTGTAGAGGCCAGGCAGTAGTGGCATACACCTTTAATCCCAGCACTCAGGAGACAGAGGCAGATGGATCTCTGTTAGTTCAAGGCCACTGTGGGCTACATGAAATTGATGCAGTCTAAAAGAGAATCAGAGCTCACACCTTTAAATCTAGCACTTGGGATCACACACCTCTTTAGTCGTGATGTGGCTGGGATATAAAGCCAGAGGAGACAAGAGCTCAGAGAAGTCTGGGATTCGTGGAGACAGATGTAGTCTGAGCAGCAGTCTGAAGCAGTCTTAGGACAGGATGGCCCTTTGGTCTGAGCATTGGTAGAGGTAAGAACTCTAGTGGCTGCTTTGCTTCTCTGATCCTTCGGCTTTTAACCCCCGTTAGCTGACTCTGAGTTTTTATTGTTAAGAACAATTAGAATCCATGCTATAGCGGCAGGTGCAGGTGAGTGACCTGGACACTCAGCTCTGAGGCTCAGAGTCCTGAAGAGAGTTTCTGGAAGGGAGCTTCACTTGCTGCCCACTTAATGCTCCTAGGAGAGACCCTGAGCAGCCCAGGATAATAGGGTACCCTGGCCTCTGACTCACCTGGGTCCACCAAATAGAGGAGTTCCTTTCCTTTGTGCCACAAAACAGTTGCAAGGAAAGCCTTTGAAAGTAAGTTTGCTCTGGGATGTGATTAACTGGAAGGGAGTACATGGGCTACGGCAAAGAGAAACTAAGTTTCAAGATTGGAACAGTCTGGGAAGCCCCGGCATGTGGTGTTGTCGCCCTCTTCTGGCTAGTAAGGGCAGAGCTGCTGAAAACAGTTCTTCACTTTTTCCCTTTGCACCTTCCTGAGCCACCTGGTTATCTGAGCCATCCTGAGCATCTGGTAGCCCTTGGTATAGTAACAGGTTCACCTTCCCTTTGAAGGGAAGCTCAGGGCTAACAAGTTGGGTGTTTTTCTGGGCTAGCGTTAGCATCCTCTACCTGGAGGCAGGAGGGAAGATTCTTCAATGCCTTCTCTCTCCTACCACCTCCTGATTCCTAACAGCTAAACTGGATGGTGAGTAGAAGCGCTTGTCACACTCTTCATTTCCAAGCGCAAGTACTAACAAGTGAAGTGTGCCTGGCACTTTATTTTCAAGGGCTCTGCTGAGAGTCAACCAACTGGTTTAGCAACCGCTCATCAGCATCTTACTACTTACAGACAGTGCCTGTGTGAAGCGGTAGTTGTAGAGGTGAGCTCTGGAGTCAGGTGAGCACAGCTGGGAGTCCTGGCTCCATTGCTCATCTGTACTGAGTCTCTGGGAGCCTCAGTTTCTGCACCCATCAGGTGGGATCATTGTGGCAAGCCCTACAGATTCAGGCATACAGCATAGTGAGTGGGAACGTTACTGCAGTTTGGTGTGATGGCAAATGTGACGGGGGGAGGGAAGAAACCCAAGGACTGTTAACATGGCTCCCTCACGCGTCTCTTTTCCTTCAGGCTTACTTCTTTGATGCCCCAGAGATGGACCATCTCCCAACAACTACAGCCACTCCCAACCAGACAGTTGTAGCAGCCAAATCCAGCTAACAGGGAAAGCAACTTTCCTCTTGTGTGGTATGTTACAAATGGGCAGGGGCAGAAGTTCTGTGTTAGCCTTAGACAGGAGGCTAGACCCTGTTTCTTTCAGCAAACCTTCATATGGGTATGTTTCTATGGCTGGAAATTCCATTTTGAAGTCCGCGTGCTGACTCCCTGACAGAGTTGGGAAGCATGGGCTCTAAGACCCTGGGCAGTAGAGTCCCTGGCTGGTCATGGCTATTGCTGGAATGCATCCACACTTGCACTTCCATTGTCAGAACATTCTTCCCTTCCCACAGACATCACTCACCTGATGAACCTGTCACTACACATACTTTATTCTTTTACTCGAGATACTGCCTGTGTGTCCATCTGCCTATCAGATAATTTGATCAGTCACTTAGCCATCCATTTGTCCTCTGTGTACCAGTGTGATTCCCTGGTCCTTGAGAACAAGGGGTGGATTTCCTTGCCCATCACATAACCTGGAATACAGTGAGCGCTCAGCAAATGTGTGTAGAGTGAGCATACTTGAAATAGCCATTATTGGGGCTGTTTTCCATTCTTTATCCAGTGCAAACCTGTGATGTATGCTTTAAGTTTTTGCATATACTGTTGTCAGTCCATTTGAAACTATTTGAAACTTAAAAGTTTTTGAGGAAATGTAAATAGAAGTTCTAGTATTTTCTTTCCAGTCTTCAGTGGGTTGGTGTGGGGCCTCCTACATTAGCATGAACACACAGTGGCTTGTTTGCATCATGACTTAATTATTACTCATTTGAGTAGTCCTGAAAATGGGCTCTTCTAATGTTGATGAAGAAGGCCTTGGCAGGGCAGGTCCCTTCCTTAGGCCAAAGTTTGGATAGAGCAGGATCCTTGTTGGCTTGACCTCTGTAGTGCTTGGCCTGGGGCCTGGCTGGCTTGAACAGCACAGAGGACCAGTGCCTGTTGGGAGGGTGAGCCAGCCTTTGCAAGATGAAGGCATATGGAGGTGATGGTTTCTGCACTGAGCTCAGGCCTTCACTGCTACTCATATACCGACTGAGATAATTCTATGGGACCAGAAAGCCAAATCTGGTCTCTGCCTTCAGGATCCTCAGTCTAATGGGTTGATCCAGCCTAACAGGTCATGCGACATGGCATGAGAGTGTAGTTACTGAGGTAGGTTGTCAGCTGAGCCCTGCAGGGCATGGGGGGGGGGGGATGACTCAGGCTTCACAAGAAGGTCTTGTGAGTACAAGCAACTAGTTACTTCTGGAGGAGTACACATTCCATGGCTTGGAAAAGGGCTATCTAGGCTGTTCAGTGGGACACAGTGATACCCCAGAGGCACCACATCTCTGAGAACACAGGGACAGAGAACACAAGCAGCCATTGCCCGTGTCCTTGACCTACATGATTTGACATCAAGCTCATGAGGGTTCTGTTGACCGACAGCTCCTGAGCGGGGGACATGGGTTCTTCCTACATTTCACAACAAAAGGAGCCAGACACTAGCCCCGGTGCTGTAGCCCTCCAGACACATAGTGCCAGGTCCAGGAAGTGATTTCCCAGCCTGGTCCTCTGGGCTGTGCACAGATCTGTGAGCTGGGGCAACTCCATTTTGGTGTCAAGCCTCCAAATGAGATAATGATGAACAGCTTTGTTGCAGCCTCCCTGGCAGAGCATTCATCGCTTTACCAATGAGAGGGGCTGTTCAGAGGCCCAGGCACTGTGGATTTACGAGCTGGCTGTGCCTTCTCCTGTAAGCTCTGGGCTCCTAGCCTTCACTGAAGAAAAATGGCTTCAAATCTCAACAGTAACCTTCCCTGCATAAATCTGTGCATGGGGACAGCTTGGCCCAGAGTGGGTTCTTGTGAGAACATTAACCTCTTCTCTCCCGGGAGCTCAGGCATCCTAGGGGAGCCTCTAGTTACTGGTAAGCAGGGAAGCTGCCCCTGAGTAAGTCATTAAAGCAGGTCACAGCACCAGCTTGTTACCTGAGTGTCCATGCTGTTTCTCCCATGTCAGGCCCCTGGGAAAGTCGAGAAACTACCTGGGAAGGTCTGCTTTGGCTTGTGGCCACCTCCAGGCTGAGGCACCTTCCCGCAGACAGTGACAAGTATGTGTGTTCAGAGGAGAGCAGCCAGCAGACAGTCACACTGCAATGTGATCGGGCTGTCATAATAGATGAACAGAGGGTTTCTGGGGAGGCCGTCTAACTAAAATCCTCCTAACTGGCCTCGTGGGCTTATGAGCTGCTATCCTTTCACTTGGCCATGTCATGAGCACTTGGTTATTTTTCTTTCTGAACATGTCTGGATATGTAAGTATGTGTGTGTGTGTTCATGTATGTATGTGTGTGCATGATGTGTATGTATATGTGTTTATTCATATGTGTGTATATTCATGTATCTGTATATTCATGTATGTGTGTATGTGTATGTATGTATGTATGTATGCATTCATGTGTGTGTGTGGTGGTGTGTGTCTCATGGCACGTGTGTAAGAGGCCAGAGTACATCCTGAGGGAGCTGTTTCTCTCCTACCATGTGGGTTCTGGGAATCGAACTGATAAAGGCAGTAAGTCTCCTTATCCTCTGAGCCATCTTGTTGGCCCATGAGTGCTGGCTTCATAAGTTAAGGGGTACAAACCATTTCCCAGGTTTCTACCCATTAGTTTATTATGAAATCAGCTTTGACTTTGTGCTGTAAGCCCCCCCCCCAGCAACTATTTAAAAAGTAGTTGGGTGTGCTTTTAATCTGAGCAGTTAGTGGCTGGGGAGGGTGGGGGTGAATACAGGCAGATTTCTGTGAGTTCAAGGCCAGCCAGGGCTAGGTAGTGAGACCCTCTCTCTAAAATAAATTAAAATATACTATTTTAATTAATTCCTTGAGGATTTTATACATTTGATCTTATTCACCCTCCACTTCTAACCAGACATGTCAGCACTGCCCTGCCCAGAAAATCTCTTTCCAGTCCTTGGACTGTTGCTTTTTCCATTTTTTTTTTTTTTTTTTTTTTTTTGTTCCTTTCTTTGAGGAAGATTGGAGGACCTGGGATGCTAACTGGGTCAGCACACTCCACTGGGCTATCTGCCTTGCCTTAGTCTCAGGTCTTTCTAGGTCCCTCCATATCTGATTCAGAAGTGGGCAGGAGGGGAGTGAGCAGAGCTTGGGGTCCAGGTCAGAAGTAGAGGAAAAGCATAGGCACTGCTGTACCCTTCTGGCAGCGATCTGAAGGCTGAAGATCCTCTCTGCTGCTTAGCCCTGGGGCTATTTATCTTGAACCTCACTTTGCTGTTTTCCTTTTTCAGTTCCTTCATGTTTGGTGGTATGTGGCTCATCTGGACACAACGTCCACCGCCAGAAAGCAGGACGGGCCATGTCAGCGGGAAACTCATTGCACTGAAGCCTCGTCACCTACTTAACAAGAATTAAGTGTTGGTCTGGGGTGTCAGTCACACGATAGAACCTGGTGTATGTGAGACCCTGAAAGTCCAGCCCCGGAAATAAAACGCAGTGGCGTCCCATGTGTGTCTGTCAGCTCTGCTTTCTCACACACTGATGTCACCCTGACTAAAACTGATGGGAATGAAAGGGGAGGGTGTGGGTAAGCAAGGGGAGGGCTTAAATGACGAGTCTAGGAGTTGGAGGCCAGTCTGGGCAACATAGTAAGACCTTGACCCTCAGTCACTCTCCTAACCCCGTAACAGTGAATAGAGAGGGCATACATACCTCCTACCCGAGGGAAATCCTCACAGAAATCAGCATTTAGGCATATTCTAGTAAGATGAGTGAAATTTTGTTTTCTTTTTTTTTTTTTTTTGAGATAGCACCTTGCTGTGTAGCCCAGGCTAGCCTTAAACCTGTGATCTTCTTGCTTCAGCCTTCCAAGTACTGTGATTGCAGATTTGTCCCATGTGAAAGCGTGGGATCTGATACTAGAATGCACTTTAGCAGAGTCATAAAGGGATTTAAAAGTAGAGTCTACCATAAACACAGGTACCATAAGAACAGCAAACAGCATCTATGGGGGCTGTGAGGGGTTTGCAAGCAAGTTTCATATATATATATATGCACAGTGTGTGTACCTGGTGCTCTCAGAGGTCAGAAGAGGTATTGGATCCCCTAGAACTGGAGTCACAGACAGTTGTGAGACCCCATGTGGGTTCTGGGAATTGAACTTGGGTCCTCTGGAAGAGCAGCCAGTGCTCTTAACTCTGAGCATCTCTCAAGACCCCCAGTTCCAGTTCCTTAGACCTCTGTTTCTGTCGTAGTCCAGTGCCCAAGAACAACTTATGAGCTAAGCACTAGTAACGAGTTCTTCCAGGTGAACTGGTTGAATGCCCATGAGGACAGAGGATGGCTAAATGTAAAGCGTGTGTAGCAGACAGACGCACCCAGCACAGGGCCTGGCTCTTCTTGCTTACTGAGTGCTGAGGATTAAATGAAACAAAGTGATGCACAAAATGGGTTTTCCAAGAACTTTTTAAGTCTTGACCTGAACCAGCAGGTTGTTCTTTGTTTCAGAGGGCACCATGTTACTCTATAATGTCCACCAACTCCAAAGTATCAACTTAAAGCATCAGTGTTGTTATTTCTTGTTCATATTACAGATTTCCTCATGGAGGTGGGGCGTGGCACACGCCTTTAATCCCAGCCCTTGGGAGGCAGAGGCAGGCAAATCTCTGTGAGTTTGAGGCTAGCCTGATCTTATAGAGCAAGTTCCAGGACAGGACATAGAAACCTTGTCTCAAAAAACAAAACAATAACAACAACAACAACAACAAAAAACAAAAAACAAATTCCTCACAAGTTAGTGGGGAGATGGTTCATTCCATTACTCAGGGCAGGGGGCATTACCAGTTCTAAAATATTTGTGTTCACTGTGTTGGGGGAAAAGATCTCTGGGGCATCTCACAATGGCAATGAAATCTGTCAGCTATAAATGACTCATGGTACTGCTGCCCATGAGAACTCATGACCATGTTGACAGGTTATTTGAAAGGTGGGTGACAGGGCTCGGTTTCATTGCATTGGTGGAAATAAACAGAAATACACTACTGTCCCCCCTTTTACAGTTGAGGAACATGCTGAGGTTGAGTGACTCGTTCGAGCTAATCTGCTATCTGCAGGGCACTGGGATTTTCCCTGCATTGCTTCACTCCGAAGCCTTTACCCATGGCCTGTATACTCTTGAGCGTCCATTAGAAAGGTTTGGGGACAGCATCTTCCTGGTATACTTGCAAATGAGATGTCCTTGGTCATTTTCACAGGCAGGGAAACAGAAAGTGGCTTAGCAGCCCTGGAGTGGCCTAGGAGTTACACCTGTTGTTACCTGACTGAGAACCTGTAATTTTCTATAATGTACTAGATAATTTCTGAGCAAACCTCATTCAATACGTCTTACAAGAAGCTTTTGTTATTGGCAAGGAAACCAGGGCTTAGACAGCAATTATGGATGGTTGTGAGTTCTTGTGACAATTTCAGCTGCTTCAGGAACTAACTTCTCAGTTCCTGAGTGACAGCTGCAGTGAGCCGGGAGCACCGATGAATGTTCGTGGTTTCACCAGGTGTGTGCAGGGGAAGTAACGGCCTCCTCTATTTGGGTAATAAGGCTCCCGCTTCCTCCTGTGAGCTTTCAACACTTGGTCAATTTTCCACATTTTGAGTTTCTCTGAATTAGATATCAAACATTGTTCTGAATGGACATTTTATGATATACTTAGTTTCTTTTGTCCTACTCATTTATTTTGTCATTTAACAAGCATTCTTGGACTTTTACATATGACAGGCACTTTGGAAGCAAAAAATCTCTGCTTTTGTGAAGGTTAGGAGCCAGTGGGGAGTCAGACAATAGGAGAAGATGAATATTTGCACAAGATGACTTAAGAATATGCTAAACATGGGCACAGTGACCCAGGACTGTAATCTTAGCACTAAGCTGAGGCAGGAGGATTATGAGTTGAAGGGCAGTCTAACATCAGTACCCTACCTCAAAAACCCAAACCAAGCTAAACAATATGGGAAAATCTGTAAGTAGTAAAGGTGGCTTGACCAAGAAGATGTCCTCTTTCCGATGTAAACTGATCGGGTATTAAGTCAGGTTTTGCTGGACTGGTGTGGCTGCTCTAAATACCTCCTTTAATCACAGTGGTTTATTTTTTCCTGCAGTACCCTCTTCCTGTGGAGCAGTATGGTGCTGGTGCTTCAGTGTACCCCAGTCCAGGCAGAGAAATGGAGAAAGGGGTTATTAAGAGGTGAAGACCGAGCACTCACTCACTTAACTTTGTCTTTGAGAAGCTGCCGTGATTATAGCATTGGCCTGCACTCAATCACTTGGCCACACACACAAGCTCAGGATGGGTGTAAGTTCTCTACATCAACCTCTTAAAACTGGGAGGATAGTGAAGTAGAGGCCTGGTAGTCTGTACCGCAGAAACCAACCTCTAATTTCCTGGAACCTGAGGTGTGCTTGTGGAAGTTTATTTAGACTAATCTAAAAATGTAGATGTGTTTGTAAAGCTACTTATTGGTCACCCCACCAACCCTGTCCCCCACTACTCCACCACACTCAGAGTTGTGAATCAGTGTAGAGGTGGAGAATTCGGTTTCACATTTTAACCCACTACTTACTGATTCCAACAATGGGTTAATCCACTGCTGGATTCTCAATTTGATGACAGTATTGGGAGACAGTAGGGATTAGGAGAATTGGTTAAGGGAAGTAGGTCACTGGAGATATATCTTGTTCCCATCCTGTCTTTCTGCTTCCCAGCCTCTTTGAAGTGAGCAGCTTCCCTCCAAACATATGCTCTCCTCACTCCCACAATGCTCTGTTTCACCAAGCCTAAAAGGATGGAGCCATCTGACCATAGACCAAGACATCTGAAACCTCACTTCAGAACAGATTCTCTCTCCCTTAAATATTTTTCTGATTTATTGTAAATTGATTCTTTAAATGTTTTCTCCATGACTGGCTCAGAAAGAAGGTTTCTTCTTGGCAGAGACGGGATCAACCAAATAGTCTCAGACTGTCTTCGGTGGGTGTTTCATGTGTGATTGATATCAATGTAGTTTTGGAATATAATATAATCTTAAATAAGCCAAGAAGCCAGACGGTTCAGGGCACCCTCGTGCCACTCGGTTTCCCTCAGTAGCCTGTGAGTTTCCTCAGTGTTAGACCTCGTGTCTACTGACTTCCCTGCTTTCTAGGGCATTGAATGTTGGCATGGCATGCAATTGAGTATAAAAACACATTCACAGTGCTCACACAGGGCTTTCAACTGAGGTCAAAAGCAGACAGAGAGGGGAGAGGGGATTTTGAATTAGCAAGAAGCTGTGTGTGCATGTATGTGTGCGTGTGTGTGCATGCACATTTGTGCATGTGTGTGGAGGTCAGAGGTCAACCTCATTTGGTATTCCTCAGGCTCCTTCCACCTTGCATCTCTCATTGGTTTACACCTCACAGAATAGGCTAGGCTCACTGGCCAGTGAGCCCCAGAGATCTCTCCATCTCCACCTGTCCAATGTTGGGATTATACATTCCCACCTGTGCTCAGCTTTTCACCTGGGTCTGGGGATTGAATTTATGTCCTTATGCTTGCATAGGAAGAACTTCACTGCTCGTGGTGATCTTTCTTCTTTTTGGAAGCAGTTTTTTTCTTGTATTCCAGACTAGTCTCAAACTCACTATCTAAGGATGATTTTGAACTCTTTATACTTCTGCCTCAATTTCCTGAGTGCTGGGAGCACAGGCATGTGCCACCATTCCATGTTTTGAGGGGTGCTGTAGTGTCTGGAGCAGTCTTTGCAGGGCTGCAATCGGAGCCAGCTGAGCAGCCCCAAGTCTGTACCTGAGTATGGATGAGGGAAAGGATAAAGAGAGACAGAATAAAGGTCAGGAGCACAGATCAGTCAATACTGAAATGCTACGAGTTTATTTTTCCACCACTCTTATATACCTTATTCAAAAAGGGGAACACAGTATCATGTATACAGAACAAACAGACTTTTCTTCCTCACTTATTCTAAGGGTTCAGTAACCACACCTTAGCTCCAACTTCTTGTTCCCTAGCCTTGACGTCAGGAGTAGCCACACCTCAGATTCAATTTATCCTTCCCTAGCCTTGAGGATCAGGAGTAGCCACACCTCAGATTCAGGTCTGTTGTTATTTAGACTAAGATAGCCAAACATCCTTTAGACTAAGAAAGCCACACCTTTGACCTATAGGTCTTACAACTTCCTGAGGACAGCTTTGAACTCTCTGTCTTTGTGCCAAGATGGAGTGCAGCCATCTTTATGGGCCCACACTGTATGTCAAGCTAGGGCTTGATGCACGTTAGGAAGGCATCCTACTAACTCAGCCACAACCCTGCCTTCAGTGGTTATCTTTCTATAGCATAGCATTTACATCTTCACCCCATCAACATATCCTTATTTTACACATGAAGAAACAAAAGCACAAAGAGGATCAAGATATTGTACCTAACAAGTGTTACAGCTGGCGACAAAACCAAAATGCACCTT